GAAATGAGCGATTACAGTTTTTTTATAAAGCTAGCTAATGTCTTAAAGCAGGATTTTAGCGATGGTGACATTATTATTGGTGGGGATTGGAATTGTACTAAATGTTTCAATGTTGTATAATGTGGAGCCTCATTTGCTTTCATCTAATTATTTGTCAAGATTGGTGAAAGAGGCTGAACTTTTAGATATGTGGAGAATTAAGCATCCAGCAGATAAACAGTATACGTGGGTTAAAATTTCTGACAACAGAGTTAGTGCTGCTCGCTTAGACAGAATTTATGCTTCAAAGAATTTTAATGACAGGATTATTGATTGTGTTATTTCTCCGGTAGGTTTCTCTGACCATTATCTGGTTTTTATTTCAGTAAATATGGTACAAATTCCAAAAAAATCTTATTATTGGCGTTTTAATGCCAAACTGTTGCGGGATGCTTCGTTTTCCAAACATTTTGAGGTTTTTTGGAATCATTGGAAGGGGAAGAAAAATGATTTTGAAAATCTAAAGCAATGGTGGGAGGTTGGGAAAACTCAGATAAAATTATGCTGTCAACAATACACTGCATATTCTACAACTACTCAAAGAGAAACAATTCAAGCTCTTGAGAGAGATATAGAGGCAGAAATGATTATAAGAAATGACCCAGCTTGTATCAATAACTTGCAACAGAAAAAGAAACAGCTAAGTGTTTATTTGAATGAGAGGGTGAAAGCAGCTTTGGTGAGGTCACGCTTTACATCGGTCACTGAAATGGATGCCCCAAGTGCTTTCTTTTTTAATTTAGAACGCTCAGTGTCGCAATCTAAGCAGATGACATGTTTACGTCTTCCAGATGGGAAGATTACAAATGACATTATAAAAATGCGCCGTCATGCTGTTGATTTTTATTCTTCTCTCTATAAAGCTGAGCATTGTGACTCTAGTTGTGCAGCACAACTTCTGCAAGGACTTCCTCAAATAGACTCTGGTTCTAAGACTGCTTTGGACACACAAATTACCTTTCAAGAGCTCACTTTTGCTGTTGGACAGTTGAATTCTGGACGCTGTCTTGGGATTGATGGGTTGACTTCTGATTTTTATAAACAGTTCTGGAAATACATTGGAATGGACCTTTTATGAAGTGTTCTGTGAAAGCTATAAGGATGGCATTCTACCTGCCACATGTCAACGTGCTGTGTTGTCCCTACTACCAAAAAAGGGAGACTTGACTCTGCTGAAGAACTGGAGACCTGTTGCTTTATTAACAACAGAGTATAAAATCTTGTCTAAATGTCTGTCAAATAGGCTTAAGGAGTTTTTACATTTGATAATTCATCAAGACCAAACCTATTGCATTCCAAAAAGATCCATTATGGATAACCTGTTTTTAGTAAGAGATACCTTGGATATCTGTAAAATGTTTAATGCAGAAGTTGGATTGATTGCTTTAGACCAAGAAAAAAGCTTTTGATGGTGTCGATCATAATTATATTTTTAATCTACTTGTTGCATTCGGGTTTGGTCAGGATTTTATCAAGTGGATACGTTTGTTGTACACTGGAGCTTCTTGTATGGTCAAGGTGGGGGGTGGCCTAAGTCGACCCATTGTGGTGTCAAGGGGCATCAGACAGGGTTGCCCCCTATCGGGGCAATTGTACAGTATCGCCATTGAGCCCTTACTTTTTAATATAAGAAAAACTTTAAATGGTTTATCAATACCCACAATGCATCAAGATTTGAGAACTAAAATTACCGCTTATGCTGATGATGTAACGGTTTTTGTTAATGATAATAATGATATAAAAGCTTTGTCTAGAGCACTTGAGTTGTATGAAGGGGCATCATCAGCTAAAGTAAACTGGGATAAGACTGAAGTTTTTGGTCAGGTCAAAGACATTTTGAAAATCTCCCACAACTACCAGGGATTTTAAACTGGAATAGAAAGGGGCTGAAATTGCTTGGTGTGTTTTTGGGATCAGAAGAGTTTCAGAAGAAAAACTAGGAGGGAGTTTTGGAGAGAGTGTGCACCCGATTGTCTAAATGGAACTGGTTGCTACCCCAGCTATCCTATAGGGGGAGAGTTTTAGTTGCCAATAATTTGGTCGCTTCTGCGCTGTGGCATAAATTTATTGTGTTACAGCCTCCTGTTGGACTAGTTCAAGACATTCAAAGGATGCTGGTGAATTTTTTTTGGTCAGGACAGCATTGGGTCCGATCAGCAGTACTTTTTTGCCAGTGCAAGAAGGGGGGCAAGGTCTTGTGAACATCAGATCAAGACTCATGGCCTTTCGTCTTCAAGCTGCTCAGAGACTGCTGTATTACGGTGATATTGGTTGGTCCAACACTGCAGTTGCACTTTTGAGGAAAGCAGGCAACATGGGACTTGATAAACATCTCTTTTTATTGAATCTGAATGAAACAAATTTAACAGGTTTGACTCCATTCTACAGATCTGTGATGGAAGCCTGGAAAGTTTTCTCTGTCACAAGACCTGCTGGAATACATGCAGGTTTTTGGCTGATGGAGGAGCCATTGTTTCAGAATCCCTTTTTACCTTCTAGACACTTGTGCTCTGTCAATGTGTCATCACGACTGATAACTGCTGGATGTGTAAAACTTGGACATATTCTAAGCGTTAGTTTGGAGACCCTGAGTGAGAGAACTGGGATAAAATCTGCTTGATTTTTGAAACAAATGACTGACGAGGTGCTTGGAGAGCTGAATCATGATCAGATACCCTTTTGTTAATAACTCCAACCATGTTAAAGAGTGGATGGCTGTACGTGACTATGAATTTCCTTCCTTGAAGATAGCTGCTGATGTACGGGGATGGCATGAGGAGGAAAATCTTATATTGTCTTTTAAAACTCCTCAGCTGGATACTTTTGAGTCTGCTGGGAAAAAGGCTCTGTATGTGACTTGTGTGAAAGTGACTAATATACATCTTCTGTCCGGAGTGAACTCCCTCTAAATGGACAGATTTTTTTGGAGTGGACAGCTGGCGGTCACTGTACAAACGCCCCATTGATAAACGGACTGGTGATCTACAATGGAGGATAGTACACAGTGCAATAGCTACGAACAGACATGTGGTGCACCTCAATCCAAATGTAGAGGTGGATTGTTTATTTTGTTCTGAAAATGAAAATGTTTTTCATCTTTTTGTGCAATGTGAACGGCTGGGTAATTTGTTCTCCTTTTTATCTCAATGGGTATCAGCTTTAGGTGAGGATTTATCTCCTCAATTGTTTATTTTTGGGCCAAAGTATGTCACCAGTCGTAAACATGTTTTGGTTTTACTAAATTTTGTGTTTGGAACTGCCAAACTCACTATTTGGAAAACAAGGAAAAATAAGATGCTTGGTAAAGATACTTTAGATCCTTTGCTGATGTTCAAGGGTTTGGTTGCATCAAGGCTCAGGATAGAGTTTGCATACTATACTTTGGTTGGGTGCTTACCAATGGTCGTGAATACTTGGGCTATAAATGAAGTGTTATGTAGAGTTGATGAAAATTATGATTTACTGTTGACTTTTTAAGTCAGTTTGTTGTTGTTTCTTTGTTGTGTCTTTTCTTTTGTTTTTTGTTATTTTTTCCCCTTAATTGAGATTTTGTAACAAAGTTTGCTAGTGGTAACAGACTGGTTTTATCTGTATGTTGTAAATAAAGGTGGTTTCAATCTCTGTCTCTTTTTCCCTCTCTCTCTCCTCCCTCCCTCTCTCTCCTCTCTCTCTCTCTCCCCCCCTCTCTCTCTCTCCTCTCTCCTCCCTTCTCTCTCTCCTCCCTCCCTCTCTCTCCTCTCTCTCTCTCTCCCTCCCTCTCTCTCTCTCCTCCCTCTCTCCCTCCCTCCCTCTCTCTCCCTCCTCTCTCTCTCCTCCTCTCTCTCTCTCTCTCTCTCCCTCCTCCCTCTCTCTCTCTCCTCTCTCCCGCTCTCTCTCTCCTCTCTCCCGCTCTCTCTCTCCTCTCTCCCGCTCTCCCTCTCTCTCCTCCCTCTCTCTCTCCTCTCTCTCTCCTCTCTCTCTCTCTCCCTCCTCTCTCTCTCTCTCCTCTCTCTCTCTCTCCTCCCTCCCTCTCTCTCTCCCTCCCTCCCTCCCTCCCTCCCTCTCTCTCTCTCCCTCCCTCCCTCCCTCCCTCCCTCTCTCTCTCTCTCCTCTCTCTCTCTCTCTCCTCCCTCTCTCTCTCTCCTCCCTCTCTCTCTCTCCCTCCCTCTCTCTCTCGCTTGTGGCGTCTCCCCCAGCAGTACAACACACAGGCAGCAGACCCTCCCAGCTACTGGCTTGTGTGGAGGTGAGTGGTGATGAACTGAAGACTAAACTACTAGTGGCTTGAGTTTACCGCTAATTAGACAAAAGGCAAATATAGGCCTAAACTTGCTAACATGCATGACTCATGAGCTGATCTAATGTATTAACTTAGCTGAAATTTAGCTAATATCCCATACAGGCCAATGTACTGTACTTAATGGAGGCACTACAGGTGAATACAGTAGAACATTTGTGTCTAATAACGTCATCACAGTCGGCACATTGATATGCAATTTAAGCGTTAACTAATTAAAATGCACCAATTTTCTCACATTTGACAAGTCACTGCAAGTGAATGGGATAAACAAAATCACCACAGAACTTCCCCAGTTAATGACTTACATCAAGAGTCTTTCATCCTGAAATGTTCTGTGTAAATATGCTGATTAGCTTGTTTTGGTTAATTTAGAATAAATCTATAGATGCAAACAGACGAGGGTAGCAGGCTTAAAACAAACTTCATCTAAAGGTGTATTCTTGAAGTTTTCTTTCTATTACAGTAAAAGAAGACATGAAAGTAAAATAGACCAAAGTCTCAAAATTGACTAGTCCTTGAAAAAAGTGCCTTAAACAGTAACTTTATGTATGATGGTCGGCTCCTCATCTAATAACTCTCCATTCTATTAGTTTGTTGTATGCTGATAGATCCTTATATAATACAGACAGCCCTCCCTCTCAAATGTGAAACCATCAGTAGTTGTGTGTGTGTGTGTGTGTGTGTGTGTGCGGCAATAGCAACAATAATAATATATTAGATCAATATATTAATGTATTCACGCAATTCAGTATTCTGTTGCTTGGCTGTGTGAAGCTGAGGGTTTACTCATTTGACATCTTGCTTGTGAAACAAAAAGTAAAAGTATTTAAATAACATTTATTTTTATTATGCCAGCAGCCCAATGCCACAGTTTAGTGTGAACATTTTTATTTTTATTTTGAAGAATTAAACCAATTTATTGGCTTACATGCACATTGTGGCATAGTTTCCTTTGCTGTTGCCTTCTCCTGTGATCAGGGGCGCTGGCAGGAATTTTGGGCCCCTATCTTGCTAAACGTTTCCCTGCACTAATTAAATGTTGATGAACTGTAGGCTAATACTAGTCTGTATCAATCAGGATCGGGGTCATAGGTCACATGAAGCTGGTTATCAACTTGGTAAGTCAACCCAGGGTTTCTCGATCCAGCCATGAACGCGTTCACATAAAAGGCGGAGCTAGCAGCAGACGAGCAATCGTAAACATGAACAAGTCTACTGGCAGCAGAGCGTCATATTTTACAAACAAAGAGCAAACTGTAATATTAGAAAGACACAATCGAAGTAACACAGCTTTGGCTGACACAGGAAGACAGAACATAGATGACAGTGTGAATGCCTAAGTGAACAGGCATATCCTATAATATTAATGGGTTGATTTGATGTGTTCTTATGACATTTTCAGCCTTATTCTTTCTACTCGGCTGTGTGTCATTGTTTCCACATTAAAAGCCTCGGTCTCTGAATAAGTGGTCAGGTCACTTTAAGAATGTCTCGTCACTTCAAACATCAGATTAATTTATTTAACTCACAAAAATGTTCCAAACATTGTTCAAATTAACTTCATAAAGCAACAAAATGAAAAGTCCATTCATGCCATAAAAAGTAATAAAATGTGCTCCAACAGTGGTTGAAAGACTGAATCTCAACATTTAGGCTTCTGAAAACTCCCCCACATTAAGAAACACACTCATATTAAAATTTATTTCAATATTCCTACCAAACTATGCGCTCATAATATTCAGCATCACATAAAAAAATGAATCCATGAACCCATTTATTTTAACGGCTGCGACAGGCTGTGTGAAATATTAAAAAGCGGTGAGTAGGCTTACTGTCACATCTTAAAAACCTACAAGTAGTAGCCTACAAGGCTTTTGTCCCTTATAATTATGAAGAACAAATAATAACACAAATATAAATAAATTCAGAAAGAAATATATAAATACACAAATATAAATCCATTTTGGTAATAAAAGCTATTTCTCTATGTTTATATTAATTAATTTATTCATTTTTTCTCCTTTATAACAGTGAAGACAAAGCATCAAAAAGCAGCTTGTCCCTGGACTTTGAATTACATATTATTATTGTATAATTATAAATATAATTAATAATACACCATCCAAAGACATGCAGGCTATAGTTAATTGGTGTCTCTAAAAATTGTCCTTAGGTGTGACTGTGATTGGTTGTTTGTCTATGTGTGTCCCTGCGACGGACTGGCGACCTGTCCAGGGTGTACCCCGCTTTTCGCCCGATGTAAGCTGGGATTGACTCATGCCCCTCGCAACCCTGTACTCAGGATAAACGGTTGATGATGGATAGATGGATGGATGGCAGCAGTCAGTGGGGACTTGGCATGGGAAAATGCTGAATGAGCGGATATGCTGAAAAACATTAAGTTGAAGCAACAGACAGCATCGCTGAGTGACAGTATACATACAGACAGTATGAAAAAAATACATGCTTTAATGTTCAAAAAACATCATCTTTTGAAGATTAAAGCATGTACACATTTTATATTAGAAACCCAAAATACAACTATGCACCTGAAAATGAGCTTAATATGGGACCTTTAAGTTCGACTATGTTGTGTAAGAGGGTCCAACTGCAGACCTTCACAGTCAGGACGGTCAGGACAGGAAATACATGCAAAAAATACAAAATACAATTGTGCGATTTGATAGGAAACGCATTCAAAAGTTATAAATTTTAGTCATGTAGACACTTAGGCTATAGGGGGAGGGATTTTGTCGTTGATTTATATTTAATTAATTAGTCAAAATTGTAACGTGAAACTAGCAGGCTAATTCCTTAAATATAACCTATTGATTTGAGCCTATTCTATCTAGCACTTAACGTGCCAGTGTAGCAACAAAGCTGACTGCATATCGCTTCAATTATTCAACTAGTAACAGGATCTTTTTTTACAGGCACTATTTATTTATTCTGTCAAAATAGGACGTTAACCCTGTCCATACAACTAGCCACGTCCATTCACAGAAAAACATATCGTCGTTGATTAAGAGTGTAACTTTCTTCTTTCTAACTCTCTTCCAGTCTTAAAAACCAGACACACACTTCTCATTCATAATTTCCCTTTGAAGAGTAATATGCTTTGGTATTTTACTGCTATCAGCTGAATTTAATAGGATAAACACACATGCAATACAACATGTATACCTGTATTGATAATTTTGTAAATATCCACCTTTTAGTTAGTTAGGTTAGTTGCCTAATGTAATACTTTTACTTTATTCACTGTGTTCACACAGATTACACAATTACAAGAGGAGTTGGCAGCAGTGACTGATTTGCATTATGCAAAACATTAAAAAAAAGTCTGAATGCATGGGTCTTGGCATGCAAAATGTCTACCACTTTCAATATTTGTACATCCAAATCACGCAAATTAGGATATGCCAACAGTGGCTTTGGTGAGGAGGAGTTTCTTTCTGTGGATAACTGTTATATAAACAGTGTTATATAACTGTTTATGTGTTAAATCTCTCCCTGCTCCAAAACAGCTGATTCAAAATATCAACTGGTTATGAATACTGAAACTGCTTTAACAGCTGTGTTGAAGCAGGGAGAGATTAAATCATGCAGGACAGGTGGTAACTTTCTTCAGGAAAGGGTTGGGAAACACTGTCGTAGTACATAAACTTCAATTCAACTAAGATGAATTCATAGAGCCAGCAAAGTCTTTGTACGCTGTTTGAGACACCGAACGGTCTAAACGATATAGATCTTTAATTTATCTTCTTTTGGACAAATACTAACCTGAGTGTCATAGTCAACATATTAAGACAAATGCAGACCTATGCCCTTGCTAAATGCTTTATAAAAAAATGTTTTATAAAGCCGAACACACAGTAGCTTGAGCTTAAACCATGATGTTTGGGTGTACTGTAAGAAATCTTGACAGTCTAATACATCTGATATACTATTTTGTGTTCAACATACTGAACTTCTGGGTGAATCTGGAAGCTGTGTAACACATTTTGGGGTCATCAGATCCTGTTTAGGGCTCCTTAGAAAGGAGAACTAATGTGTCCTGAGATGTAAAGCTTGTTGTAATGAATGAGTGCAGCTCTCTCAGCATGTTGTTGTGTTTGTGTGAAGGTGTGGGCTCTGCTATGAATCAGTGTGAGGACAGAGAGGAGGGAGTCCCTCCCTCTAAAAGCACTCTGTGTGGGGAACATGACAGCCAGACCAAAGCTCAGAGGTGAGATGAGGATCTCTAACTGTCCAGGACTCAAATCACTCCACCATCATTATTCACTCTCAAAGCTCTGTGTGTGTTGTGTTGAAGCCCAGAGCAGCAGCAGGGACCAGACTCTGCTGAACCTGGACCCAGCTGTGTGTCCATCAAGAGTGACCGGTCTATGGGCCAACCTATTAACTTCAAAGGTGGACACCACTCTGCTGATCAAAGGTCAGCATGTTAAATGTTTGTCTCTCCTGAGATGAGGTTTGGTGTCTTTGTTGTGATCACTTCATGTTCTTAACTGTTCACTTTTTTCAAACTGGTCTCACATTTTGCAGATCTTAGGCCCCATCCACACTACTGCGTTTTAGTTTACAAATGGAGAATTAAAACAAATACGATTCAGCTGCGTTTTGGAGTTGATCTCCGTCTACATTAAAAACTGAAAACACACATCTAGTGGCCATTCAGGAAAACTGGGAATGCGCGTGCCGGTGTACACATGAAGCAGATGGTCTCTTCCGTAGTTACAGAAAATTTGTAATAAAGTAATGTAGACAAAGAATCAGACCAGATTTGTTTTTTTGTATGCACCAATAACGAACTGGGACTGTTACTGAATGTAACACAGGAGTGTGGAGGCGGAAAACAGTCTGGGAGTCGTCGCAAAGTAAATGACGACATGCACAGTACAAGTGGAGGCAGATAGGCTAAGTGTTATTTGCGAGGGTCTACGTCATTGTTTCGAAAGTCCTCCGTTTTTGCCCGTCTTCACTAAAAAGCTCTCTGGAGTTTCGAAATGTAAAACGGGGTTGGCAGCGTTTCCAAACTTCACTGTTTCAGTCTGGATGGAAGGTGCAAACGTAGCAAAAGGTCTCTGTTTTAATTTGAAAATGCAGTAGTGTGCACAGGGCCTTAGTCCAAGTATCAAAACCACATTTAAAATCCACAAAGAGCTGGATGCAGGTTTGAGAATGTGTAAGAACACTGAAAGTGGAGTGATAAATTAGCTCCTTCATGCAGTTTTTCAAATCAGGATCCACATTCACAAATCTCAGATCACAAAGTAAAATCTGAGAACAAAGTCATAATATTCCACATTTAAACATGAGTTTCCTCATTTCATTAGAACACACAGGAAGGGTTAGCAGCCCAACCTGCATCTTTTATGAGGGCTGTGATTAAGTTTCTTACTACAAGATTATGTAAATACACTCAGTGTGATCACGTCGTCAAACAGAAACACATCGTTCAGGGTTCAAATTAAAAAGAGAGATGGGTATATGTATTAACCTGTTGTATTCAGATCATATGACACCCATCAGCTTATCCTAGGTAAACATTTTAATGGAGGGATTTCCTGTCATCCAATGGGTATTATGTCTTTATCAGGCAGTTAAGTAGTCTGTTCTGCTTCTGCTCTACTTCACAGAGTTGATCAGCAGAGCTCAGAGGTTTCCAGTGGTCAGTCTGCACAGCAGCATCAAACGGACCTGGACTCCATATTTATGGTGTGTAAATGTACAAGCTCAGCTACTACTGCTAATTACAACAGCCACAAAGTAAATAGTGAAGCAGCATTCTGATCCAGTCTCCATGCTGCACTCTGCAGACCAGCAGGCTTTCTGTCTGTCACAGATGATCTGATGTTGACTTCTACTAGTTCAACTTTACATTTTCTTCTGTTCCAGCTGCTCCAGGAAAACATTGTCAGGTTTGTGAAGAACGAGGTGAAGAAGTTCCAGAGAGTTCTGAGTCCAGATTACCCAGAATGCTTAGAGAGGGAGGATGAGGAGGTGTTGGAGGGTGAGGAGGAGGAGCAGAGGAGGAGCAGCAGAGAGGCATTTCTGAAGATCACACTGCACTTCCTGAGGAGAATGAAGCAGGAGGAGCTGGCTGAGCGTCTGCAGAGCAGTAAGAGGATTTGAACAGATTTAACATGATGGAAAGAGGAAATGGAGGCAACATGGGAGAAGTTTCCATTTCAAACTCTGCTGTTAATATGATGCACACATTTGGATCAGATCTATGAATTCTTCTGGGCTGAAACTCAGAAACTGTTCACAGCTGATGAGCTGAAGAGATTTCATGGAGGAGGAAAATAAATATCATCTTGATGTCTTAAAGTTTACATTTATCAGATTTACTATAGCATCCACTTATTTTTAATTTTTTTAAATTCTTTATTTTTGAAAAATTGAGAACAATACAATAGCCAGATTTACATTACCTTATGGTCACACTTCCAGTCTGTGACCAAGACCAAAGTTCTCCATTCCCAACATTCACGCCGCGGTCTGGTACAGGCAGGTCTCATCTCCATAGAAGACGCGTAGTCTTGCAGGGTAAGGAGTTTGGAACTTAATTTTTCTCCCCTTCAGCATCTTCTTTGCTTGATTGTACTCCGCACGTCTCTTGATAATAGCTGGTGGGTAATCGTGGTCCACGTAGAAGCGGTCATTGTTGTATTGCACTTGTCCCTTCTGCCAAGCTCTATGGATAACTTCTTCTTTGACTTTGTAACCCTCAAACTTGACAATGATAGAGCAAGGCTTTGACTGCACATCAGCGGGCTTAGGACCAAGGGCCCTGTGGGCTCTTTCAATTTTGATCTGCGCGTCCTGGGGGAAATCCAGGCAATCCCGAAGCAGTTTATCTATGAAACCTTCAATGTTATTGTCTTCTACTATTGTTTTCTCGGCGTTCGCGACCCTCTAGGTCAATAAGTTTAGCCTCCATATTGTCCTGCCGTTGTAAAATTTACGTGAGTAACGATGGTGCGCCTGCATGGCCGTTTCCACCTCCTGAATTCTTTTCAGGCTTCATCTAGCCTATCACTTGTCTTGTGCAAGTCTTGTTGTATCTCCGAGAGCAGTTGCTTGTCTAAAATCTCTCAGTTCGGCTAGTACCTTCTGCAAGCTAACCTCCTCCATTGCTTGCCCCTCTGCCTTGTGGACCAGGGAGCAGCTTCGGCTGTCCTGCTGTAAATCCTCAGTAATAGGTGCTGTGCCCGTCGCCTTTCTCCTCCTTGTAACAACCCCATCCTCCATCTTAAGTAAAATTTCATTTATAATCAAATCTCAAAAATTGTTGTGTTTAGAAAAACCGTCGGAGAGCATTGAAGTTATGCAGCAATCTTGGTTGCAACCTGGAAGCCAACCCCTGTAGCCACTTATTAATCACATTTCTCGATTTTTCATTCAGAAACTGCTGTTGCTGCAGTTTGTCGACGTAAACTCAAGTCTGAACTGAAGAAGAAATTCCAGTGTGTGTTTGAGGGGATTGCTAAAGCAGGAAACCCAACCCTTCTGAACCAGATCTACACAGAGCTCTACATCACAGAGGGAGGGACTGCAGAGGTAAATGATGAACATGAGGTCAGACAGATTGAAACAGCATCCAGGAAACCAGACAGACCAGAAATAACCATCAGACAAGAAGACATCTTTAAAGCCTCACCTGGAAGAGATGAACCAATCAGAACAGTGATGACAAAGGGAGTGGCTGGCATTGGGAAAACAGTCTTAGCACAGAAGTTCACTCTGGACTGGGCTGAAGACAAAGCCAACCAGGACATACAGTTCACATTTCCATTCACTTTCAGAGAGCTGAATGTACTGAAAGAGAAAAAGTACAGCTTGGTGGAACTTGTTCACCACTTCTTTACTGAAACCAAAGAAGCAGGAATCTGTAGCTTTGAAGAGTTCCAGGTTGTGTTCATCTTTGACGGTCTGGATGAGTGTCGACTTCCTCTGGACTTCCACAGCAATGAGGTCCTGACTGATGTTAGAGAGTCCACCTCAGTGGATGTGCTGCTGACAAACCTCATCAGGGGGAACCTGCTTCCCTCTGCTCGCCTCTGGATAACCACACGACCTGCAGCAGCCAATCAGATCCCTCCTGAGTGTGTTGACATGGTGACAGAGGTCAGAGGGTTCACTGACCCACAGAAGGAGGAGTACTTCAGGAAGAGATTCAGTGATGAGGAGCAGGCCAGCAGAATCATCTCCAACATCAAGACATCACGAAGCCTCCACATCATGTGCCACATCCCAGTCTTCTGCTGGATCAGTGCTACAGTTCTGGAGGAGGTGCTGAAGACCAGAGAGGGAGGAGAGCTGCCCAAGACCCTGACTGAGATGTACATCCACTTCCTGGTTGTTCAGTCCAAAGTGAAGAACGTCAAGTATGATGGAGGAGCTGAGACAGATCAGCACTGGAGTCCAGAGAGCGGGAAGATGATTGAGTCTCTGGGAAAACTGGCTTTTGAGCAGCTGCAGAAAGGAAACCTGATCTTCTATGAATCAGACCTGACAGAGTGTGGCATCGATATCAGAGCAGCCTCAGTGTACTCAGGAGTGTTCACACAGATCTTTAAAGAGGAGAGAGGGCTGTACCAGGACAAGGTGTTCTGCTTCATCCATCTGAGCGTTCAGGAGTTTCTGGCTGCTCTTCATGTCCATCTGACATTCATCAACTCTGGTGTCAATCTGCTGGCAGAAGAACAATCAACCTCCCAGCTGTCTAAAGTCTTCAGAGACAAACCTAAACTAACACATCTCTACCAGAGTGCTGTGGACAAGGCCTTACAGAGTTCAAATGGACAACTTGACTTGTTCCTCCGCTTCCTCCTGGGTCTTTCAATGAAGACCAATCAGACTCTCCTACGAGGTCTGCTGACACAGACAGGAAGTTGCTCAAAAAACAATCAGGAAACAGTCAAGTACATCAAGAAGAAGATCAGTGAGAATCTGTCTCCAGAGAGAAGCATCAATCTCTTCCACTGTCTGAACGAACTGAATGATCGTTCTCTAGTGGAGGAGATCCAACAGTCCCTGAGTTCAGGAAGTCTCTCCACAGATAAACTCTCTCCTGCTCAGTGGTCAGCTCTGGTCTTCATCTTACTGTCATCAGAAAAAGATCTGGACGTGTTTGACCTGAAGAAATACTCTGCTTCAGAGGAGGCTCTTCTGAGACTGCTGCCAGTGGTCAAAGCCTCAAACAAAGCTCTGTAGGTGGATTTATGTATGTGCAATTTCAAAAATGCTTGATTTAATATTTGACAAATACAGGGCTGCCCCGTGGCATAAGCGACATAGGCGGTTACCTAAGGTGCAAGATGTGAATATTGTGTTTTCATTTATATAGAAAGAGACATTTCCACCATAAATTGGTGCGTAAATTTTCACCAGAATGCAAGAAATGTCTTTATTGCTTAAAATGTTCTGGGGGAAGACCCTGATTGACCATGATTATTGACTTGGCCTTTCATCTATACATGCTTTAAAGTCATGAGTTTGGCTGCTGAACTTTTTTAACAATTCCTGAGGATTTAGGAGTGATTACCCTAACCCCAGCAGTGGACGTTTTAGGGTTGGGCTTATTAAAATTTAGTTTGTGTCCATTGCTGATCTTTTTTCAGGCTGTCTGACTGTAACCTCACAGGGAGAAGCTGTGAAGCTCTGTCCTCAGTTCTCAGCTCCCAGTCCTCTAGTCTGAGAGAGCTGGACCTTAGTAACAACAACCTGCAGGATTCAGGAGTGAAGCTGCTGTCTGCTGGACTGAAGAGTCCACACTGGAAACTGGAAACTCTGAGGTCAGTATTAAGCGGTTTCTTTTAAATCCTCCTCATGTTGTTTTAGGTTCATGTTAGTGAAAATGGTCTGTAGGATTTTCCTGCTGACATGATTTCCTAAAACAGAGTTTATGATGTTTTCTTGATTCCAGGCTGTCAGGCTGTCTGATCACAGAGGAAGGCTGTGCTTCTCTGGCCTCAGCTCTGAGCTCCAACCCCTCCCATCTGAGAGAGCTGGACCTGAGTTACAATCATCCAGGAGACTCAGGGGTGAAGCTGCTGTCTGCTAGACTGGGGGATCCACACTGGAGACTGGACACTCTCAGGTTTGGACAGACAACAAGAGCTCACACACTGTGGGTGTCTATTTTCCCACTATTTAATGTCAATCTACTGGAGTTCATCATCACGAAGGAGTTTTTATTTCTTCTAATTCTGTTCAGAGCAGTGAGTAGGACTGAGTTAGGAAAAATATCGATCTTCAGAAGTCTTATTGATTGGAAACAGCCGTTCATTAGAAACATCAGAAACTACCAAAATCAGTCAGACACTACTCACCAATTCACTATATTTCCATATATAACATGTTTACCTACTGTAATATTCCCCAAACCAGCTGAGTGGTATGTGCAGTGGATAAGTGTACCAGTGCAAGTGAATCAAGGTACTCATTCGCACTTATCAGAATCAGCTTTATTTGCCAGGTATGTGTACATATACGAGGAATTTGACTCTGGATTATACATTGCTTATGGTGTGCTTACTCTTACAATAATACTATAATAAAAGTATAATAAAAACAACCACAGGCTACAGAATAGAGAACACAAACATCCATCCATTCATCTATCTTCAACCGCTTATCCTGCGTACAGGATAAGCGCAACACAAATATACACACTATAAACAAAACAGAACAATATAGACAGATTGACAAATAGTGCAGTGAGCAGAGTGCAAAGCATGCAGGAGTAAATAATTATAATCATTATTTTTATGTACATGTGAGGTGGGTGTGATATACAGGTTGTCAGGGGTCGGGGCGCTGAGTGCAGACTGAGGTGAGGACCCAAATGCAGACAATGGCGAGGCGAGAGGAGGATGCAGTTCAAACAAAGGATTTATTAATTCAAAAACTAAACTAAAACAGGCTTACATGAAGCTCAGGGCAAAAGTCCAAACAAGGTAATCCAGGAAACACAAGGCGATCCAAAAACACAGGGAAAACGGAGCACAAGGCGGAACACTCAACAAGACACAAGGACGTGACAAAGACTGGAGAGACAGGCAGGCATACATATACACAGGGACTAACAAGCGGGGCGGGAGTAACACAGGTGAGCGGGATCAGGGCTAACGAGGCAGGCAGAAAGCATGGAAAAGAGAGAGACAAGCAGGGGGAAACAGAGAGAACACTAGACAAGCAGACATGGGGCAGAGTGAATAACCAAGAAGACAGAAACACACAAGTTACAAAGAACCAGAACCTAAACGAGAACACAGAACTAGGATACAGAGTACAGAGGAGACCAAACCACAATAATGCAAACAAGGACCAGGAATGAACACCAAAACATGAACTAAGGACATGGAACTAAACCCAGACTCCCAAATAAGACACACAGACAGGATCATGACAGTACCAGGCCGCCAGAGAGAGACAGTTAACCCAGAATACACAAGTACGACACAGGGCTGAGATGCAGAGCTAAACAGAACCAGTAAATGAACAAGGGAATACACAAGACTAAACAGGGAACACAAGACCAGGAGTAAACACAAAAGACATTAACTAATGTACAGGACTAAGAACTAACTAAACAAGACTACACAGAGAAACGCAGAACCAAAAACAGACTTAAACAGGAAAGACATGAACACAAAAACCACATTCCTAACACAGGTACACATTCATGTACACAGTGCAAAGGATGCTGGAATAGATAAGTATTATGTGCAGGTGTTCTTTACTTGGGGTAGGTGGATTTGGTATACAGTATATATAATATAAAATACAAAAATATGAACAGCTCTGAAATAGAGAATGATCAATAAATAATAAGTGATAACCAGTAAACAGGTGGCTGATTAGAGACAGAGCTACTGGGTTATTGCAAAGGAATTGTTCTTGACACTGTGAGTCAGAAATCAGCTGTTCCAGAGTGATGGCTTGAGGGAAGAAACTGTTCCTGCGTCTGTTGGTTTTGCCATACAGTGCTCTGTAGTGCCTACCAGATGGGAGGAGCTGGAACAGGTTGTGTCCGGGGTGAGATGGATCTGCAGTGATTTTTCCTGCCCATTTCCTGACTCTGGAAATGTGTAAGTCCTGGTTGGCACCAATGATCTTTTCTGCAGTCCTGACTATCCATTGTAGTCTGCTCCTTTTTGGTGGCAGATCCAAACCAGACAGTGATGGAGGTGCAGAGAACAGACTGAATGATGACTGTGTAGAAGTGGATCAGCAGCTCCTTAGGCAGGTTGAGCTTCCTGAGCTGGCGCAGGAAGTACATCCTCTGCTTGGCCTTCTTGATGATGGTGTCCCACTTCAGGTCCTGGGATATAGTGGATCCCAGAAACCTGAAGGATTCCACAGCAGACACAGGGCTGTTGAGTATGGTGATGGGGGGCAGAGTGGGGAGGCTCCTCATGAAGTCCACGGTCATCTCCACAGTTTTGAGCGTGTTAAGCTCCAGGTTGTTCAGACCGCACCAGAGAGCCAGCTGATCAACCTCCAGTCTTTAGGCCAACTTGTCGCGGATGAGGCCGATGACCGTTGTGTCGTCAGCGAACTTCAGGAGTTTGACAGATGAGTTTCCTGAGGTGCAATCATTGGTGTAGAGGGAGAAGAGCAGTGGGGAGAACACGCACCACTGGGGGGCGCCAGTGCTAATAGTCTGGGTGCTTGATGTGATGTTCCCCAGCCTCACCTGCTGACTCCTGTCAGTCAGAAAGTTTGCGATCCACTGAAAGGTGGAGGATGGCACGGTGAGCTGGGTGAGTTTGGTGCTGAGGATGTCCTGGATGATGATGTTGAATGCCGAGCTGAAGTCTACGAACAGGATCCTTGCATATGTCCCTGGAGAGTTGAGGTGTTGCAGGATGTAATGCAGTTGCAAGTTGACTGCATCATCCACTGACCTGCTAGCCCTGTAGGCAAACTGCAGGGGGTCCAGCAAGGGGCCTGTAATGTCCCTCGGGTGGGCCAACACAACACCAACACCATCTTTCAAAGGACTTCATGACTACAGATGTCAGGGCGACAGGCCTGTAGTCATTTAATCCAGAGATGCAGGGTTTTTTGGGGACTGGGATGATTGTGGAGCGTTTGAAGCAGGAGGGAACTTCACACAGCTCCGGTGATCTGTTGAAGATCTGTGTGAAGATGGGGGCCAGCTGGTCTGCACAGATTTTCAGGCAGGATGGTGACACACCGTATGGGCCAGGAGCCTTCATGATCTTCTGCCTTTGGAAGAGGTGGCTTACATCCTCTTCACAGATCATGAGTGCATGTGAGGGGTCCGAGAGGGGGGTGAAAGCATTTTTGAAGATGGATTGTTTGAAGATGGAGTTGGAGTGGTGGAGAGGTGTGACTGTGGGCTTTTCAAATCTGCAATAAAAGCCATTCAGCTCGTCTTCTAGTCGTTCAGTAGCAGCAGTGTGTTATGTGTATGTTATAAATTCTCATCAAATGATGACTTTAGTGTCTTTAATATTACGGGGTTTTTTTTCAACATAATAATAATAATAATAAATTTAATTTGTATAGCACTTTTCACAAACTCAAAGTCGCTTTACAGAGCAGATAAAGAAACATGACCAAAGGGAAAAAAACAAAAAAAACACTAGGGATAGGCAGAGGTGAAGAGATGGGTCTTAAGGTGGGACTGGAAAATGATGAGGGACTCAGAGTTGAGTTCTGGACCAGTTGGAGTCTTTTTATGTAGGTTGAGCTGATACCAAGGAGTAGTGAGTTGCAGGAGTCCAGCCGTGAGGAGATGAAGGAGTGAATGAGTCTTTCAGCAGCAGAGAGTGTGAGTGAGGGTCTGATTTTGGCAATGTTGCGAAGGTGAAAGAGGTTTTAATGACATGATGGATGTGGGGCTCAAGGGAGAGGGTTGAATCAAAAATCACACAGAGGTTGAGGGCCTGGGGAGATGGGGAGACAATGGTGCTGTTGATGGTGTTATTGGCTTTGCAGAGAGTGGATTTGGAGCCTATGAGGAGGAATTCTGTTTTATTGCTGTTTAGTTTGAGGAAGTTGTGTTGCCTCCTGGTTTTAATCGCTGACAGACAGGAGTTGATGTGGGAGAGAGGGGGATTATGGGGGGATTTGGTGCTGAGGTAGATCTTGGTGTCATCGGCATAACATAAACATAAAAGTTCAGGTTGAAGTGGCGGAGTATCTGACCAAGGGGGAGGATGTAGATGATGAAGAGAAGGGGGCCGAGTACGGAGCCTTGGGGAACGCCTTGGGTGACTGTGACTGTAGCAGAGGTGTGGTTATGAAGAGAGATGAAGTGGGATCTGTTGGAAAGGTAGGAACAGAGCCAGGTGAGTGCAGTACCTTTGATACCAAGGTCTTTGAGTCTGGTGAGCAGGATGTTATGGCTCATGGTATCGAAGGCTGCACTCAGGTCAAGAAGAATAAGGATGTTAAGGGTTCCGGTGTCAGCAGAAGTGAGGAGGTCGTTGAAGACTTTGAGGACAGAAAACCTCATTGGAAAGGTTCAAATTGGTTATTGGCATGAAGATGAGTTTCTAATTGTGAGGCGACTATACGTTCAAGGGTTTTAGACAGAAAGGGGAGGTTGGATATTGGGCGGTAGTTATTAAGGAAAGAGGGATCCAGACCAGGTTTTTTAAGGACTGGGTTGACAGTGGCAGTTTTGAAAGCAGAGGGGATGGTTCCAAGGGACAGTGAGGAGTTGAAGAGGTTAGTGAGGTAGGGGGAAAGGACGGGGAGGCATGACTTCATGAGCGGAGTAGGGAGGAAGTCAAGTGAGCAGGCAGTGGGTTTGGAAGAGCTGATTATGTTATGAGATTTCAGGGGTGGTGACCAGGTCAAACTGGGAGGGAAGGCAGTGTGGAGGAGGAGGATGTAGGTCAGGCAGGACAGGGGGAAGAGGGTCTGTTGTAGGTGCTGCAGTAGAAACTGGGAGGTCAGATGCAGGGGACAGAGACTGATAAATGGTGTTGATTTTATCAGCGAAAAAGTGAGGGAATGGGTTGCAGAGATCTGGAGAAGAGGTAGAGAGGGTGTTGGTCCGAGGCTTGATGAGGTTGTTCATTGTGGAGAAGAGGGTTCTGGGGTTATGACAGGGGTTGGTGAAGATGAAGGAGAGGTAGGCAGATTTGGCAGCAATGAGGGCATCTTTGTAGGCAATGAGGTAGAGTTTATAGGCTTCATGGTGGACTGTGAGAGATGTTTTTTTTTGTCAGACGTTCAAGCTGGCGGCCAGTTTGTTTCATTTTCTGGAGTGCAGGTGTGTACCAGGGGGACGAGGTGTTAAAGGTGACGTTTTTTGTTTTGAGGGGGGCCAGTTAAGGAAGGTAGACAAAACGGAGTTGAGGTGGTTTGTGAGATCATCAGGTGAGGTGAGGGTTGAGTCCAGGTGGAGAGCAGGTCAGAGAGATGGTGGGGATCAATGGATTTAAGGTTGCGGAAGGTGATTTCTCTAAGGACGCGGGGGTGTGCGGTTGGAGAAGGAATGGTGAACCGTATCAGTTTGTGATCAGAGAGGGGAAAGAGGCATGGATGGACGTCGAGCACTGGTAGGTTAATGGAGCAGACCAGGTCGAGGATGTGTCCATTGTCATGGGTGGGGAATGTGACATGTTGGATGAGAGTGAAGTTGTCCAGTAAAATGGTGAATTCTGATGACAGCTGGCAGGTGGGGGAGTGTAATAATAATAATAATAATAATAATCCTTATTTGTAGAGCACTTTTCAAAAACAAGTTACAAAGTGCTTTAACAAGTGTAAAGAATAATACAAAAAAACAAGATAAGAGCATGAAAAATTAATATAAAATTAGTAAAATACAATAAAATAAAAGGGATAAAATAAAGGGATAAAATATAAGGATGTTGAAGTCACCGAGTAGCAGCAGGCATGAAGAGAGAGATGAGGCTAGTCTGAGGAGTTCTGTAAAATCAGAGAGGAAGGAAGGGTTTGGTTTAGGTGGCCGATAGATGAGGATAACTGTCATGGAGGAAAGAGCTTTGAAGGCGAGATATTCAAATGAAGAAATTGAGGGGATGGTGACCCGGAAGTTCTGATTGTAAATGATGGCGAGGCTGCCTCCATGACGGGAAGGGCAGGGTTTGCAGATGTAAGCCAGTGGAGGATGCTTGGTTGAGAGAGAATATGTCATTGGGTTTCAGTGAGCAAGTTGTCAAGGATTACTTCATGGAGGGCAGGGGCTTTATTGTTAATCAATTGGGTGTTGAGGAGGGCAAAGTTGGCATGGTGAGAGGGTGGTGAGATGGGGGCAGGCTGGAGAGATCTGAGGTTCTCCCAATTAACAGTGAGTGTGGGGGGGTAATGCAGTTGAGGAGGGACAGTGAGTGAATTTGCAAATGATTGGAGAATAGTTGTATGTGAAGTGCAAATAGCACTGTAGTCCAGTCCGGGTTTTTTGTGCAGCCTGTCGGTGTCAGCTCTGTGTGATGCAGCGGGGGAAGCGTTCCGATGACATGGGAGAGGTGCGACAGAGCGTGCAGGGGACCAGATGGATGGAATGGATTGTCCGTGGTGAAGATAAACAAACTTGCAGCGAAAGCTTCTGTGGATGTAACGGGGTTGTCGAAGAAGTCCGAGCTGTTTGATGACTGGGATGCAGGATGGAATACAGTAGCTGATTAATTCAACAAGTTGCAGAGTTGAGTATTTGAACATGATGCCGAGCGGAGGGACTGAGAGCTCCGTGATAGCAGTTAGCAATGGACTAGGGACACAGAGATGGATGACTGATGTAAGTGCCAAAATGATCCACGGCATGACAGGAGGAGATGAAAGTCTCGGTTACGGCTCGCATCTGGTGGAGGTTGCCTGTGAGAAGGGCTAGGAAATCGGGTTAGCCGCTAATGCAGCTAGAGTTGGCCACCACGTGTTGGAGGCAGTAGTCCGGTCGAGGTGCCCAAGCGGCTTCAGGAACCAGCTGAACAGGAGCAAAGGAAGGAATAGCAGATGGAATAGACAGAATAGCAGACGGAAAAGCGGGAAATAAACAGCGTCAGCGTCCTCTCATGTTATGTCTGATGCTACTCACACCACCGGCAGCAAACAGCAAGCACGTTTTTGTCAGAGAACACAGATGTGGGAGAGATTCTGAATGTGCAAAAACTTTTGAATGTGAGCAGAAAACCTGCTAAAACACAGGATTTATTAAAGTTCAGGAATTTATACCTTTAATTAAAATTAACTTAAGGTTCTGGAGAAAGCAGTTGCTAAACAGCTGTGTGACTTTCTACAGAGCAATAGTTTATTTGAGGATTTTCAGTCAGGATTTAGAGCTCATCATAGCACAGAGACAGCACTGGTGAAAATTACTAACGACCTCCTTATTGCATCAGACAAAGGACTTGTCTCTGTACTGGTTTTATTAGATCTTAGTGCTGCATTTGATACCATTGACCATCAGATCCTATTGCAGAGACTGGAAAATTTCATTGGCATTAAAGGAACCGCTCTAAGCTGGTTTAAGTCCTCTTTATCAGATAGATTTCAGTTTGTACATGTTAAGGATGAGTCCTCCATGCATGCCAAAGTTAGTCATGGAGTTCCTCAAGGATCTGTCCTTGGACCAATCCTCTTCACTTTATATATGTTTCCTTTAGGCAATATTATCAGGAAATATTCCATAAACTTTCACTGTTATGCAGATGATACTCAGTTATATCTATCGATCAAACCAGATGAAACTCATCAGTTAGCTAAACTTCAAATGTGCCTTCAGGATGTTAAAACCTGGATGTGAAAAGTCTGGATCTGTGGCTGCGGGTCACCTGCTGCCCCCGTGTTCCTGCTCGACACCCTCTGCTGCAACGACTATTGTTATTAGTCCTATTGTTATTATTGTTATGATAATCATTAACATTACGATTGTTATCATTAACACTACTATAAATATCTGTACCATTTTTCATTTAGTCTATAGCAACACTGCTCTTTTATGAAAAGCACTGTGAGATAACTGTTGTGATTGGGCGCTATATAAATAAAATTGAATTGAATTGAAATTGAAATTATTTGAGGTGAAAAGGTGCCACATGCACACCCCCATGCAAAAGACACAAAAGAGGACGGCAGACTGAATCATGCCTGCATGTGTGCTGACTCAGCAGGGATTTTATTAAAGTATAAAAGTTGATCTACAGGAAAAATATAGACTATTTAAAAGCAATAGCTACAGAATGCCTGAATGCCTTACTACATTATATTCTATACATTTTTTTTATTTTGAATTGTCAAAATATAAATTGTTTAATTTGAGGGACAACGTGCAAAGGACATTCTGACATTTGACATTCTGCTCTCAAATTAGTTATCTTCTTCTTCTTCTTCCTTTTCTTCTTCAGGTCTTGTTCTTTCAGACAGTGAAAGAATCCTGTAGACAGATGAGTTTCAGCCTGTTTCTCTGTCACTCTGACAAACTGAGGAACACTGCTTCATGTTGAACAGCAGTTAGGACTCATGTTGGATAGAAAATCACTCTGACTTTGTTTCTTCCTCCAGGGTGGACCATGGTGGAGAGCAGAGGTTAAAACCTGATGTGAGGAAGTGTAAGTGTGGATTCAATCTGACTCATGATGACAAAACAGCACACAGTCAGTTTCTCTTTCAAAGTTGATAGTTGTGGTATTTATTCATTCAAACATTACTGACTAAATGCATCATGATTAAACTTTAGAAATGAACAACATCAGCACACAAACAAAGAATAAACCTTCAGATGTGTCTGATGATAAACTGCTGCTGTGTTGTGTCTCGTTCTCTCAATCAGATCTCTGTGAACTCACACTGGACACAAACACAGCACACAGAAACCTCAAACTGTCTGACAACAACAGGAAGGTGACACGGGTGGAGGAGGAGGAGCCATACCCTGATCATCCAGAGAGATTTGACTACTACGCTCAGCTGCTGTGTGGAAATGTTCTGACTGGTCGTTGTTACTGGGAGGTCGAGTGGAGAGGAGGAGTTTATATATCAGTAAGTTACGGAGGAATCAGAAGGAGAGGAAACATTACTGACTGTGTGTTTGGAAGAAATGATCAGTCCTGGAGTCTGAGCTGCTCTGGTGTATGTTACTCTGTCTGGCACAATAACAGAGTAACATTCCTCACTCCACCCTCCTCCTCTAACAGAGCAGCAGTGTATGTGAACTATCCTGCTGGCACTCTGTCCTTCTACAGAGTCTCCTCTGACACATTGATCCACCTCCACACCTTCAACACCACATTCACTGAACCTCTTTATCCTGGGTTTGGGTTCTGTAATGACTCCTCAGTGTCTCTGTGTTCTGTGTAGGAGGGAGACAACTTCCAGTCCTGTGGTTTAAATGTTGGTGGTGGACGAGGCTTCACTTTGGTTAACATCTGGCTCACTGATTGTGCCTTTAATGTCATAAATGTGTTTCCTTAGAAATGGTGAAATGATCTCCTCAAGGCTGAATTTGTTGTGTACAAACTGTGTTGACTGATTTTCACTTTAATAAAGTTTTCTTGGAGCAGCATCTAGTAGCTGCTGATGGCTGCAGAGCTTCTCATTCACTTCAATAAAGGTTTGAAGACAAAAACTCAACAAATAGTCTTGATTTTTTCTGTTGCTCAAGTACATTTCTTTTTCTGCTGAGTTTGATCCTCACAAACACTGTTTCTGCACAATTTTATATATTATGTATTATAATTTACAGTATTAAATACAGTGTGTTCAAAACTTGCAGTTGTTATAGAGAGCAAGTTAGCTAATGTTATTAGGTAAAAGCTAACTAACGGAGCAAGGCTTAGTTTTACTTTAACTTAACACAACAAAACACCTAGTAGGCTACAGCTCAGACAAAATATGATCAATACCTACACTACACAGAATTTTTATTAAAAAAACAATCAGTTAAAGATTAACACACAAAATTAACACTGCACTATGTTTTTTTCCAAACAATATGAGAAAATACTGAGCAGATGAATCAATAATTAGTGCAGCCTTAAATTAATTCAATAATTATATCAGCAACATAGCGGATGTGCAAATCCATACCTTATCATTGGTAATGAATACAAAACACTACTTTTTTTGTTTAATGTAAAAATGGCTGTTAATGAGATTTTTCTAAATTAAGTCAGTCTGAATAATTGTTGAACTGAAAAACATGAATGATAGTTCGAACTTTAACGGCTCTGATGTTGAGTTTTGACTTTTGCAGACATCTGACCTGAGAGAAGCCGCTCGTCACACTGAAAAGATTAATTAAATACAAGTATAGTAATGACAATCCCCAGAATAGATAAATGACAGGGAACTGTTTTCTAGATCATTTTCCAGGACATTTCCAGTGATGATCTAGCTGGTATGACAAACAGGGATCACATCATGCACTAATATGTTCCTCTGGGCTGATTTTAAAGATGTGCAGTCTGGTCTTTAAAACAGAAAATGTCTTCAGAGTCTGAGCAAGGTTACTGACTATAAACTGCTCTACACTTTTCTGTGTACTGTCTCTTAATACACTTTATGAAGTCTTTTTGTTAATGCTGGAACTGTCACGCACTGCCGGTCGGCCATTCTTTGTGTTGCACTTTTGAGTTTAGTATCTGCCTTATAGTTTGTTGGGTTTTGGGGGTCTATCTTGTCTGTCGTCTAGTGTTCAGTAACCCTTGTCATGTCTGTTACCCCAGTGATCCCTCTGCATGTCTGTCTGTTTTCCCCTGCTCTCTCTCTCCCTGCCTGTGCCTCGTTAGCCTCATGTCTTTCACCTGTGTTGCTCCCGTCCTGCTCGTTAGTCCCTGTGTGTATATACCTGGTGTTTCTGTCTTGTCTTTGTCGGGTCATTGTTTATTTATTTTTTTGTCACCCAGTGTTGCAGTTTGTTCTCGTGTCTTCTACCTTACTCGCCGTGTACCTCCTGTTACCTTGAGCTACTGTGCGTTGTCTGCTTAGTCTCGTTTTGATTGTTCTCTGTCAGTTTTTGGATTTACACTCGTTCCGGATTATTCTGTTGGATCACCTTTGTTTTCTTGGACTGTGTTATTTTGGGGTCAGCCACTCCGTTTGCAAGTGAGCTCGCCTTTTGTTTGTTTATTAAAACCCCTTGAACTATACCTGCACTATCTGCGTCCTGCATTTGGGTCCTCCAACCTGCCTCCACACCACCCATCGTGACAGGAACTGGTTTGGTTTGTTTCATGTTAAACAGTTTGCTCAACTAAAATGCTTTATTATGCAACACAAATGATGAAAACTTAACATTAGCTTGCTACTTTCAGCACAAGTTTACTGTGGGGAAGTATGTGAGTATGGAGGCATGTGTGAAAGTGTAGTATTAGTATGTGTATAAATGTCTGTATGAAAGTATGTGCATGAATATACTGTATGAATAAAACTATGTTGCATGAAAAAGTATGTGAACCCTTTGGAGTTACCTGGATATCTGCATAAATTTGTCATAACGTTAATTTGTCCTGGACAAGCAGCTTTTCAAAGCTCTGTCTCCACTGAAGAAGCAGCAGCAGCTGCTGTTTGTAAAGAGAAGTGAAAAAGCTTCCAGCACCTGGTGTTCCCAGGTAGTCTCCCATCCAAGTACTAACCAGGCCCAACCCTGCTTACCTTCCTGAGATTGCACAAGAGCTTATTATTTTATTATCAAAAATGTAAATTTACAATATAATAAATTTTCCATAATTAACCAACAAAAACAATTACTGAAGTAGACCATCCTTCAGTTGACACTTAACCAAAATAAATAATAAATGAGACATCTAGTTTTTACAACAATAAAACCTATATGGTGTTATCAGTAAACCTGTTTTAAAAGTATCATACAAGAATATATCTATACACATGTACCTTACAGCTTTATATAAATTTATTATTGCTTTCATTTGGTCGTTATTAATTTAAAAAGCAGCAAAAAAGCAATCTAATACGCCAAAAACAAAACAAAAATAAACAAATAATTAAAATTATAATAAAAAACTAACACATACATGTGAAATATACAAGTGAAAACCAAAACCCCCATTTTCTTCCACACTTATGACAATGTAAAGGCCCAGCATTTTCTTGGTAGCACTCTATATTTATGAATCAAATTAACATCTCTTTTCACAATAATTTCAAATAAAGCATTTATATTTAGTTTTTTCTTTTCAAAATAGGCATAATTCCATATCAAAATAACAGCAAACCTTGTGTGACTCAAAATAAAATTTAATGAACACAAATTCACTCCTTTCTTTTTAAAAGGGATCCCAAATAGAAAAAACTGTTCTCCTGTCCTACAGTATATTTTTGTAAATTTCCCATCAAGCAGCTAATTGCTTTAAATAAACAAAAACAACCTGTAAAATCCTTAAAAATAACATAAAAACGTCTCATGACCACCTGCACACACATCACATTCACCTCTTCGTTATTATATATGTTATGCAGTCCCACTTTTGTATATCTTCTATTATGACGTAACATAAAACCACTATTTTCACATTCATAATTCCCATTCAAACTCTCCCATATATTTCACTTCTCTAGCTGAGGAAACACTCCCCCCCCCATACTTTTTCTGCAGCTGGAGCCTTAAACTCCTTCTCTATCAGGATTTCATAGATGTTGTTTACAATCAGTTCACACTTGCATTTTTCCTCCAACTCTCCTTTTCCATATATAATTCCGGTATTTTCATTGTTTTCTTGTTGACTATATTCTTTTCTATTATTACACTCCACCTTCCAGGTATACTTGTTTTAATTTTGCTGTACTGTATATGTTATCTATTTCTTTTCTGCTTGCTCACAAACACAATCATAAAAACATCCTTATATACTTATATACCCCTGCTAACCCCTCACTTCCTGGACTCTTCCTTCCTTGCAACCCCCCTGTGGCCTCCTCTATCTCCCTCTCAGTTATATCACCATCACACATTTCCCTATATCCCCTTATCCTGTCTTCTTATCTATGTTCCCTAATACATCCTTCATACTTTCCTCATCTTCCTCCCCTTTTCTAAACAAATCTGTATAATATTCCTGAACTCTCTCTAACACTTCTATACTGTTTCCTGCATCATCCACTAATTCTGATACTATATATATATAGTCTTATTCTGTTTCCTCTTCTCTTGCCCTAAAAAGAATGCAGTACACCTTTCTCCTTCTAATGCGTATCTTGCCTTACTCATTATAATTGCTCTCCTACACTTATCTCTCTCAAACTTAGCTAATTCAGCCCTTAACCTCCATGCTATAACCCTCATCTCCCTACTTATTTTCTCCCTTTCTTTTTCCCTCCTTTCCCTGTTCCTCTTCCTCGCATATCTTATACACAGCAAAAACTGGAGTGTTGAAATTTCAGGGTCAAACATTTCTGAGTTGATTTTAACTCCCAAAGAGTAATTTTAGCAAATTCTGAATTACATAATGTTTAATGTTGGGGTTCTTTTACAGTGTTGATTTCATCAGTGTTAGCAAACCCTCCCTGGTGTTAGCCTAACTCTACAGAGATCTAATTAAGCTCCGCCAGCAAAAGCCACACATTTCAAGATTTCAACCAAGCCAATGACTAAGAAGACAGGTATTTCACTTTTTCGGCTAGAAACAGTACATTTTCCTCCTTCACGAAGCTCTTCAAGGTAAGTCTAATTAAGTCAAAGTAACTACAACAATTGTAAATTTATGTTGTGAACTGTGACATCTACAGACAAAAAATGTTTTATAAAGCGTTGTTTGTTGCCAGAACGGAACAGTATAATTGTCCAGGTAACATTAATTAGTAGCGCCCAAACAGCTAGCTAATGTTAGCTAGTGAGTAACGTTAGCTAGTGAGTAACGTTAGCTAGTGAGTAACGTTAAAAAAAGGTTTTCTTTTACTTCACTTTTTTAAAAGTCATTTTACCAGTTCATTGGTTATAGATTTCTTTTCATGCTTTTGGCAGACACATAACATAAAAATGGAGTCAGTTGCTCAACGTTTTTAGTTCTTTATAGAGTGTAAAGCATAATACCCACCAACACAGTCAATAAACATAGGAAAAAAATCATTAACTGTAAAATTTGGACTTAATAGGTAATGAGTTTTAGTGGGGGGAAAGCACATTTATTTTTATCTTATTCTCCTTTACAGTCATCGAAAGATTTTGGCTGCCACCTGATGCAGAAGTTAAATACAAAGATGCCACAGGTACAGAAGTTGATGGAGAAATATTCAGCGACCTCGTTGGACAAGGAAATGTGGTGCTGACAGTTTTCTCAAATGACGGTGAGTTACAAAGAAGTTATAATAAAGCCCTCTACACACGACAAACATTTTAATTTAACATATTTTTTATTCCTTTAGAACTTTCTGATTGGTCCTTGTCGTTTTCTTCTGAGACGTCTGACTCAAGCTTTAGCTCATCAACTATAATCATAGATGAAGTCCCTGGCAAGAAACAAAGACTTGAGGATACATGTCATGTAGAGTCTGCCAAACAGGTTCCAAAAAAACTTTATTCTCACGAATCTTTAACATCTGACATTCATCTGAGGCTCTAAAAAAGCTGTTTATCACCATGTTTTGCATTCTCATGGTTTTGTTTTTTATTAGTT